TCATTATGAAATAATTCCCCAATTTAAAAATGAAAAAAAGCCTCAACGAAATGAAATAACTTCCTAAATTAAAATGAAATAACACCCCATTTTTGGGGATTTATTTCGTACGAACTATGAAACAAAAGGAAATAAGTCCTCAAATTTGGGGAATTATATCATTATGAAATAATTCCCCAATTTAAAAATGAAAATAAAGCCTCAACGAAATGAAATAACTTCCGAAATTAAAATGAAATAACACCCCATTTTTGGGGATTTATTTCGTATGAACAACTCTATGGTATGTCCAACAACGGCTTCGCTTAATAAATATTTTCTAAATAGCCGGCCTACGACCGGACGCAAGGACTTACCACTCTATAACATGACCAACACCGGCTTCGCTTTGTAAATATTTCCTAAATAGCCGGACTAAGGCCGAACACTTTTGATACAGGGTGAGGTATTCTTAGCGAAGCCGGTTTATAATGTACCCCAGTGGATAAATACCTTGCGCCCGACCGAAGGCCGCCTATAAGACATATATTTTTTATTTCGTGTGATAAAAGTAATATAATGAAATAACTCCCCAAAAATATTTTTAGGGATTTATTTCATTTTTGAATTTTAGGAATTATTTCATAATGAAATAACTCCCCATTTTAAATGTAAAATAATACCCCAAAAAACGAATTAAATCCCAAAATTTCGTTTTTGTTGCTTTCTGAACAAATTTGTAAGGAGTCATTTCATTTTTGTTTTAGGGAGTTATTTCGTGGGGAGTTACTTCATGACGCCAGTTATTTCATTTTTAAAGCTAATTTTTGGAGGAATTTGGAGTTATTTCATTTTCATCATGGGGAATTATTTCATTTGGGAGTTATTTCACTGTACCGTCCAATACACCTCAGAGGAGAAAACCGAAATATAAATAAATCCCTAAAAATATTTTTAGGGATTTATTTCATTTTTGAATTTTGAGGAATTATTTCATAATGAAATAACTCCCCATTTTAATGTGAAACAATGCCCCAAAAAGCGAATTAAATTCCCAAATTTCGTTGTTTTTGCTTTCTGAACAAATTTTATGGGTGATTTTTAATTTCTGTTTTGGGGGGTTATTTCGTGGGGAGTTATTTCATGCCATGTTTGATATCCGGCGTTCGGCCGGTGGCAAGGGGTTTCTCCTCTGCGGTATATTGGACACCAGCTTCGCTAAGAATACACTCTCCGTGTATCAAGAGCGGTATTGGACATATTATAGAGTGGCAAGTCCTTGTGTCCGGTTGTAGGCTGGCTATTTGGGAAATATTAACTAAAAAAATTTTGGGGAGTTATTTCGTTATATTACATTTATCACATGAAATAAAAAAATATATGTTTGATAACCGAAATAACTCCCCAAAACAAAAATGAAATAACGGCGTCATGAAATAACTCCCCACGAAATAACTCCCCAAAACAAAAATGAAATAACTCCCTAAAAATTTGTTCAGAAAGCAAAAACAACGAAATTTAGGGATTTAATTCGCTTTTTGGGGCATTATTTCACTTTTTAAATGGGGAGTTATTTCATTATGAAATAATTCCTCAGAATTCAAAAATGAAATAAATCCCTAAAAATATTTTTGGGGAGTAATTTCATTATATTACTTTTGTCACATGAAATAAAAAATAGATGTCTGATAACCGGCCTTTGGCCGGGGGCACCCCTCTGGGGTACATTAGACACCGGTTTCGCTAAGAATACACTCTCCCTGTATCAAGAGTGTTCGGCCTTAGGCCGGCTATTTAGGAAATCTTTACTAAGCGAAGCCGGTGTTGGTCATATTATAGAGTGGTAAATCCTTGCGTCCGGCCGCAGGCCGGCTATGTAGGAAATATTTATTAAGCGAAGCCGTCGTTGGACATACCATAGAGTAGAAAGTCCTTGCGCCCGGCCGCAGGCCTGCTATTAAGGGAATCTTTATTAAGCGATTAAACTGAAATGTAAAAAACTTTGAAGCCCCACTCGAAAGTATGAGCCACCTACTTTTTTTAGAAATGTCACTAAAACCGATTTGTTCCATAATTTGTTATTTTTAAATGGGAACTTATTTCATTTTAAAATTAGGGATTTGTTTCATATGAAATAAATCCCCAAAAATGGGATGTTATTTCATTTTAATTTAGGAAGTTATTTCATTTCGTTGGGGCTTTTTTTCATTTTTAAATTGGGGAAGTATTTCATAATGAAATATGTCCCCAAATTTGAGGACTTATTTCATTTTTGTTTTGGGGAGTTATTTCGTGGGGAGTTATTTCATGACGCCTGAAATAACTCCTCCAAATTTGGGGACTTATTTCATTATGAAATAATTCCCTAAATTAAAAATGAAAAAAAGCCGCAACAAAATGAAATAACTTCCTAAATTATAATGAAATAACACCTTATTTTTGGGGATTTATTTCATGTGAAACAAATCTCTAACTTTAAAATTAAATAAGTTCCCATTTAAGAAATTCGACATCTAGAAATAAAAAATAACAAATTATGAAACAAGTCGGTTTTAGTGACTTCTTAAAAAAGTAGGTCGCTCATGTATTCGAGTGGGGGCTTCAAAGTACATACAGCAATACAAAGCAAATACATTTCAGTTTAACAGCCGGGCGCAAGGACTTTCTACTCTATGGTATGTCCAACAGCGGCTTTGCTTAATAAATATGGTACAGTGAAATAACTCCCAAATGAAATAACTCCCCACGAAGAAAATTAAATAACCCCCAATTCCTCTAAAAATTAGCTTTAAAAGTAAAATGACTCCTAAAGTGGAAAATGAAATAATCCCCAACAATTGGGAGTTTAAATTTTAAATTGGGGAGTTATTTCATAATGAAATAAGTCTCCAAATTTGTGGAGTTATTTCATTTTTTGTTTTGGGAAGTTATTTCGTGGGAAGTTATTTCATGACGCCGTTATTTAATTTTAGTTTAGGGAGTTATGTCATATCTTTGATTTTTTTTTATTTTTAAATTTGGGAATGATTTCATAATGAAATAAGTCCCCAAATTTGAGAAGTTATTTCATTTTTGTGTTGGGGAGTTATTTCACGATGCCGTCACTAAAACCGATGTCAAATTATTAAATGTGAACTCATTTAATTTTAAAATTGGGATTTGTTTCTTATGAAATAATTCCCCAACAATGGGGTATTATTTCATTTCAATTTAGGGAGTTATTTCATTTCGTTGGGACTTTTTTTTTCATTTTTAAACTGGGGAGTTATTTCATAATGAAATAAGTCCCCAAATTTGAGGTGTTATTTCATTTTTGTTTTGGGGAGTTATTTCAGGACGCCGTAAATTACATTATTTCTCATAAACCACTGATCCTGTTTAAATGAAATGTACAAGAAAATTATTGAAAAATTGTGAAGCTTTTTTATACTCGAAGTTCTCTCATTTAACACCACGTACCTCACCTTGTATTTTAAGAGGGTGGTAACAAAGTTAATTTTCAGTAATGCTAAATAATTTTATTGTACACTTTATTTAAATTGGTCTGCAATTTAAGAAATAAATAGCATTTTCCATATAAATTGAAATTGATTCTACTTTGTATTTTTTTCTGTTTGTTTAATTTTTTATACGATTTTGTATAAAAAACTTGCTTTAAATTATGTTTTGGTTAATAACTCCTGAACTACACGAGTCTCCATCGAAAAAATTTCATTAAAATATAGGGGAGAGTACAGGTATCCTCATACCATGTCTATTTCTAATTATTAATACGGGGCTGCCTGATATATTTGCACATTGAACAATACACTATGAAAATTCATTGGCTTTAAAACGAAATCAAAAAATGGCCTGTACTTAAAGGAATTTCAAAGTTATGGGCAATTATATGCATATACTTTTAGGCAATTTTAACATATTTTACAATTTTCAAAGCGCGATATTTCTGGTCTGGAACGGGATTTTGATCAAAAAGTCATTGATTTGAGGAACACTTTCAAACCATAATATGTGTCGGAAATGTCAATAAGATCGGAGATGATAAATCCGAAAAGGCTGTTTTCTGTCCGTTTTGATATGGATTCTCCCTAATGCTACTTTACTTGAGGTGGCGTATAGAGCAAACGGCATTTTTAGAAGAAATCGGAGGTAAACAAAATCACGAAAAGACAATATAAACCCATTAAAATTATTATTTTTTTTCTTTTTTGTTTGTTTTATTGTGATTTATATGTGTGAAAAACACCATTTTTAAAATGTTTAAATATTTTCATATATTTTTAAATCGCATTTAATTACTTTATTTACACATCGGCAACGGCAGTTGGACGCAAACATTAAATGTTTTTCCGCCTTAAATGAAAATAAAATACATGAAACAAATTAAGATCTAAATACCGAGCAGGGTTTTGCTAACCATACGCCAGTTGTAGTGAAGCAGACCAAAGTCTCTGGTGGGAATGGAACACACAACCCCCAGGCTAATAAGTCAACACACTACCAACTACCCTACCGGATGTCAGTAAAATATATTTATCAAATAGGAATTTTTTTAAAGATATATAGATAAGATATAAAACATTAATATTCATTTCGAATTTTTACAAGATAAATCTTTGCAATTATTGACATAAAACCTACTAAATCGTTATTAATGTTTTATGCCTTGTTTAGTAATCTTGTCGAGCGAGAAGGAAGAAATCAAAAATATTCCGATTGGACTCAAAGGTTGCACCCATTCAATGCAAATGCAATTGGAAGACCTGAAAAAGGTTCTATGCACATATACACATACATACATACATATGTACGTTTATAACAAATTGTGAGTAGAGCCACAGAATATTTTTTTATTATATGAACATCATAGACAAATAAACATGATAACTTCTTATTCGACAAGGATATTTGAAATTGCAATATATAGTACATACATACATATGTATGTACTTCATATAAAGACAATAACATATTAATTTATCTACGAATTTATTTAAATTGTTAGTTTTGTTTCTATTTACTTTGATATAAATTAGATGATGAAAATAAATTAATTATTTAATAATATTTATATCACTTTTTTATTTATTAATTCTGTTAATAGGTTTTATCCAATTGACATTTCCAACAAATTTATTTTGTTGATTAATTTAGATGCAGCTGTTGTTAACAATCAAACGTTTCATGATGAACTGTAAAAGTTAGACAACAAACAACAAATAGTGCAGTACATGGCAACAACTAGTAGGTTGTTGAGAGCATCCTTTCAATAAATACACCACCAATGTCTGGAGACTTGCGCGGAACTATTGCAATCTCATATAGTCTAGTCGTTGATGAAAGTGAACGTTTTCATTTAGTGGTTTCGACAAATGCTCACTTTTATACACACCATCAATAAAGGGGGTGGTATATTGATTTTGTCATTCCGTTTGTAACACATCGAAATAGAAATATGTTGAAAGCACGATAGGGTTCGAACGAAAAGAGATAGACGGTTAAAATTGTACACAATTTTACAAAATCCCTTTAGAAAGTTTATGAAGATCGGTCCATAGTTGGACCTAACCCCCCATATAAGGCATTCTTAAAAATACTAGTACATCGATGATATTCTATACAGACATGTTTTATAAGAATAGAAATCTAGTAACTATACTTACAGGCTTAAAAATATGAGTGCAGCAATGAAATTCAACATAAACAAGTTTAGTGTGAACGAAAATCCCCTAAGGAAGCTTTTAATTTACGGCATACGGCTTGATGGTGGGTATATCAGATTCGGCATAGCCTAATATAACACTCTTACTTGTCATATTTTAAAATTGTTTTTAATGCCGGCTACCGTTACCGCTAAAATAACTATTAAAATCTACAACCGTTACCGCTATAATACAAGTTAACCCTCTGAAACTCAACATCTTGAGTTGGACTTGATAGAAAGAATAGAATGTATACAACAGTTTACATAATCCGATAAGTCACAATAACTGTAAATATAGAAATTTGAGAGACATAACCGTTATGTTGCCTGTATTATATTAAATGTTATAGAGGGTTAATATGGATGTACACAACACGCGTTGTAGTTTGTAATGCGTCGGCAGATGATCAGGGTTTTATTTTGTGTAGAATAAGAATAAACTAAAATGAAATAAATTTCACCAACAATGAAAGAAAAATATTAAAAATATAAACAAAAACTTAAAATTTTGAGTTTTTAAAAAGAAATAATAATAAAAATCTTAAAAGAAAGATCAAAATGACGCGTGGTGTGAAACTTGCAGCTTATAACGCGCGAAAAGTTGTGTACTTTCACCTTTAATAATATAAGTAATCTAGTAAAAATATTGATTTCATTTTAAGAACAATGCACATTTCGCGACAACTTAACTGGTTATTATACCATAACTATGTCAAATTTAATGTCAGACAGATCAGAGAGTTAGAAATTTGATCCGAAATTTATTGTTATAGTTAATTAAGCATGCAGTTTGCAATTTTTGTTTTTACACGCCTTTGTAAAATTGATTTGGTATTACTTTGTTAAAATATTAAAACTGATGAATACCATTTTAACGTTACCGAAATAATTAAAATTAACGTTACCGTTTACCGTTTCAAACGGTACTCAACCATACTTTTCCCAATTGCAGCATTTTTCTTACACAGTTTAACAACTGAGATCAAACTGATTATAATATGGACGCTTTATTTACCAAAATTATTAACTTCGTACATTTTTTTATATATTTACTATATATACATATATTGAAAAGTAAATAATAGCACATATCGCACATTTACTACAAGACCAGCATAATCCAAAAAAGTCGTTTCGCGAAAAATTTCTAGGAATGTTTAATGATATTTTATTATTTTTTAAATAACTTTTAAATAAAACAAGGGATTTGAAAAATTAAACTAGATTCAGATAGTAGAGTTCAATATGCTTCTCATCTAAATTGAAATTTAATTTTTTTTTATTTAATTTTAGTTTTTACTTTTACAACGAAGAATCGATCTTACACCGAAATTTATAGAAATATTTTAAAGTGGATAAATCTATAAGAATGACTTTATTTAGTATGTTTTGTAACCACCGGTTCAAAAACCCCGAATTTTATATTATGGCAGTCTTGTAGTAAATGCGAGATATGTTAATTTCTATTTTTCTCATATTATTTCTTTACTTCAGTGGTGGACAGACACATAGTATCAAGTATATATTGTGTGTATTAAGCAGCAGAGAACCGTATTCAAGTCAACTTAGTATTAGTACACTGTAAAAAGTTGTTCAGAAACAAAATAAAATACTTTGCGTGCAAATACACCATTAAGGGCCCTTCACACGGTCACACTTTACGTACGACAAGTCTAATGAAAAAGTAAAATGAAATTCCATCCGTATGACAAAAAAGTGAATAAAAGTCGTATGATTTATATTTTTTGTGTTTACACGATTGGTATAAAACAATAACAAAGTAAGATGGAACAGCTGTTTCACTTTTTTTGTATGTGTTTATATAAAAATACATCCCTGATCTAATGCGACTTGACTAATGCTTGTTTTTTGAATCATTTCAAAAAATGAAGAGAGCCATACGACTGTCAAATTTTTCCATCCGTATTTTCTCTCAATGTGTGATGGTTTCATTACATATTGCGTTTAGACGATCCCATCCGTTCTCTTCTACACAAAATTTTGACAGATCTTATTACTTGTGTGCTCGTGTGAAGGGGGCTTTAATGTACATACATTAATAAATTATTTCAATATTTTTTTTTCAATAAAGAGTGGAAAAATAAAATGTAATTTCATGAAAAACTAAATATTTTATAAATAATGAATATAATCTATAAAAATTATAATTCTCTTTAATTTTTTAATGTTTTTTTTATAATTAAACAATTATTTTGAACAATTTTCCCAATTAACATCAAACATTTTGCTATTTGTATACAAAACAACAACAAGTTTTCATTTCACTTAAACACAGACACACCAATACACGAAAGCTTACCCTGCTGTTCGACAAAGAGTCAATGCATAGGAAAAAGACAGTGATTTCCACTTATGTTAAACCACCTGGTGTGCTCTAATTCGTCTTTCGTTACGGATGTACTCTTTATAAACGAGGGTGAAGGTAATCGTCACTTTAGTGTCCCCTTGTAAGCGAGAGAGAGAGAGAGAGAGGACACTTAAAAAAACACTTGTCTGTCTCTTTGTAACCTATAGGGTGACGATTGACTTCCTCGTAGGACAAGCACATGTTAAAGTAGCTAGTCACCTGGGCAGTCGGTGGCTAGGGGTAAACCCTATGTGGTAGGCTAAATAGTGAGTTCGGGACTGTCCGCCTGAACTGCTGGGTATTGTGTACGTGCAGTGTTGCCAGAAAATGAATTTCAAAATATGCTAAAACATGAAAAACTAAGTGCTAAAATGTTCTACGGAAGAAAAAAGTGCTAAAATTTTTTAATCTAACAAAACAATATAAATGTTTGTTTTTTTCTAGTTTTTATTAAAATACTGATGATGTAGTGCATGACTCCAATATTTCTGGTACTATATCTTCATCGTAATCCTCATTTTGATATTTTTCAAATGATCGTATTTTATTTGTAATATAATTTTTTATATATTCATAAACAACATTTTATTTTGTAAAAGATTTTTAAAAAGGCTTTAATTTTAACAGCATGCATTTTCGAATTTCAACTCTTTTCGAATTTGTATTATTGAACATAAAAATTCAGCTTTAATACGATTTCGAATTTTATTTTAATTATAGCCTTTGATATAAAAAGCCTTTCAAGTTCGGCATTAGAAAAAGATGAAATGAGTAATGACAATACAAAAATAGACAAATCATTAAATTAATTATCACCGATAAAATTTTCAAAATTATATACTTAAATTTAAAAAGCCATTGTATCAGATTTTTGTCATAATGTTGTTTTGTAATATCCAACCACTGATTTTCAATAATATTTTTATCAGTTAAACTATACTTAATTTTTATAAAAAACATAGAAATATATTTGATTTTTTTTATCAAGCAAATCATGCTAAAAAGCATTTAGCATAATTTTTAAAAACTTCAATGCATCTTCACGAATGCTAAATCTAACACTGAAAGTGCTAAAATGGCAACACTGTGTACGTGTGCCAACGAAGCGTCAGCAGAATTTTCAGACCTATACATGCGTGCATTCGAATCGCAATTCTGCTCTTGACTGCTTTACTTCTTTTGTTTTGGCAATTGAGACATCCATATTTCAATTGCACAGCGGTAACGAAAGGAGAATCAATTGAGTTTAAGACGAAATCAATTTTTGTTAAAAGGGTTGGCAAAATTGATGCAATTGTTCTTTTGTTGGTACAATTCAATGTACAATGGTACACCAATCACCCATTTTCTACAATTTTAAAATACACTCCCTTATTATATAATAATAATAAAAAAATTTTACTTTTAACACATAGTTCAAACAACTACCTACTTCGGTCATATTTTTACTAAACGCCGGAAGAGGATATTGTAAAGAATTCTGAAAGAGTTCATTCATTTAAAAAAGAGAGTACCTTTTATTTTTATTATACTCTCCACCACCATCAGTGGTGATAGAGGGTATATATTTTGTCATTCTGTGTGTAACACCAAGAAATATTCATCTGGCACCGAACAAAGTATATATATTCTTGATCCTTATGAAATTCTGAGTCGATTTAGCTATGTCCGTCCGTCTGTCTGTGTAAAACACGCTCACGTTAAAACGAAGCAATAGAAATTCACGAAATTCACAAAAACATTCTTTATTATCCGGTACAGTTTGGTATTGAAAACCAATAAAACCGGTTCACGACGATGAATTTTGCCACACATTATTTTTTTGTGCCAGGGTGCAAGTATGTTCAAACTCATAACAATTGATCCAATATTTCCCATAGCCCCCATACAAAGGTGTATATTCCAGGAAATTAGTTTTTCGTTAATAACTC